CGGAATGAAACGTCGGTAAAAATTGATCATCCCGAGAAAACGCTGAAGCTCTTTGATAGTTTTAGGCACTGGAACATTCTGGATAGCTTCTTCAGATCACGTCGGGGTCACCAAATGTGGGGGTATGTGACTATCCCCCGCATAAATAGTAATAATCAACAACTCCGTAAAAATCATATATTTTTCACATACATAACGTAATAGCTAGTAGACAAAATCTTTTCTAATAATTTTTCAAACAACCTATGGCAACCGTCAGAGCCTACGCGCGCCTGCGCGGTTTCATGCGCAGAGGAACTAACTGTCGTATGTCACCACAAACCAACTCGGGTATCAGTAGCTGGGGAACTACGGGTACCCTAGACAGGAAATCCCTGGCAATATCTATTGATCTAAACGTGATATCAAATTCCTGTGAACATTGTCCGTTCCCGTTTCCCAGCTGTCCGTTCTCAACAGTTGTAGGTAAACTAACATGTGAAAAGAAAATGCCAATGAAAACTACTAAGAATCTATCTATCCTTTTTGTGCCCGGCTTTTGCATGCTTTTAAATTTAAGTATATATGTATATACTTGACTGCACGGACGTCGTAGTGGTTTAAACGGTCGCCACGCCGCTTCCTACTACGCTGTGTGTTGTGGGTACAAACCCCACATGGGACGACACTTTGTGTGATCCACAAATTGTTGTTCTGTGTGTGGGTGTTCTTTGTGTCCGTTTCATGTCCGGTTGTAGATCAGCACAGGCATATCATAGATTTTGTATGGGTTTGATTTTTGTTATATTTATTTGCTTACTATTTGACAAAACAGAGATTGTTGCTGTTGTGTGTATTGATATGATGATATGACTTTAGAGTCTACATAAAAGACGATTTCAAACAATTTTAATTTTTTTATGAAATAAAGATTGTTTAAAATAAAGAATGTTTGTTAAATCCCCTATGACACAGGATAAATCCCTAATGCGGGAGTTGTCTTTGAAAAAGAAAAAAGAAAAGACTACTTACTATTTCGTGTTGCCAACTTATAAAATGACAAATTTCCCAAATAAACTTATAAGCCCTAATTTGCCCGAAAAATTACCCGTGAAATTTTGCAAAACTGCAAATGCATGTCCATCCATTTATTTGTAAGCTAAAGTACGTAGGTACGAAATTTCTTATACCCAACTTTAAAAATTACGAACTTCCATACAACTGTTAATCCAATATGGATGGAGCATCAACTGTCAAAATTTCAAGTTCGTAGCCCTAGCGGTTTAGGCTCTGCCTTGATGAATCAGTCGGTCAGAGCAAGTAACTTAATATGTATATATGCTTACATATAACTAGTTAACTTAACATTTATTTTTATTTTTAATGGGTCATACTTTTAGCTGGTAGCTTCCGGATAAAACAAATCCAAGAAAAGCTAATGGGAGGTCAACTTGGATGGTATGGGCATGTAATGCGTCGCCCACCCAAACACATGACCCGACAAGTGCTCGAAATGTTTCCGGTGCCAAAAAAGCGAGGAAGACCCCGCATCACATGGAAAGCAGCTATAGACAAAGATATGAGAGATGCAAAAGTCACATCTGTGACGACCCGGGGATAGAGCGTCCTGGCGAAGAATGACCCCAAGTGATGGGATAAGGCTAGGTGAAGAGAGAGAATGGGTCGTACTTTTAGTATACAAGTCATTCAAGTCACCCGTTAGTTTTTAGAGCCATTACTAACTTTGATTGTTGTATAATGTCCTGTATATTTCGACAAAACCACTAGAAATGTCTTACCGAACCAAAGGGCAATGCCGACCATAGATACTTCGGCCCTGGGTGCTCACATATAATAGCATATGGAAATGATAATATATCATTTATAGAATTACAATTAAAAATTGTCACTCGACACTTGTATCTAATAATAAAGATACCATGATTATGGGATATTTTTAGTATTTAAGTTAAATCAGTTAAATAGCATTTTGAGGGGAAGAAATGATATGGATTAACTATTCACCTGCTGTGGTCGAACCCATGTTTGTATAAGATTTCGAACTTTTCGTGAAATTTAAACCACACTTGACACAGCGATGATGTCCTCCGGAATGAGTTACTGTGGGCTGTGAAGAACTTTGGCCTCTGAAAGCTTGATTGTACGGACGGCAGTATTTAAGTAACTGGGAACACTTGTTATTTTATCCACCAACGAATGAATTACGGATTAATAACCGTAATTTAAATTATATATTGTTTGGATAAATGAATACCGCAATTAATAACCATAAAACAATATGATTTTTTTAAAAGCAAACAATTGGGCGTTTCATGGCCAAAAATGGGCATTCCCTTTTTACAACTTTAAAGTCCTTTTAATTGTAATTTGATCTAAATTATCCACACAAATGAAGAATATAACAAAAAATAAAAAAGTATTTGTTTATATTTCATTAACGATCAAATAGATACTTGAAAACCGTATGTCCGTTCCACTTGAGTAAACAATCACTTATCTTTAAGTGCGATTTTAGGTTCCTATTTGAACAATAATTCATTATTGTTCTAATAGGAATATGAATACGGAGTGTCACCACCCCTATTCATTCCGTGGGTGTCGTAAGAGCCGACTAAGGGAGCAAACTACGCAGGACAACAGCACTGCAAAGAGAAGGGAATCTTGAAACAAACCCTTTTTTTTTTTTTTTAACGTGTGGAAATCCCCTCGGACCGTCACCCCGCCGGGCTCTCGTTCGGCGGGGCGGTGTGTCGGACTCGAACCGACTAAAACCACACGGTGTGCCTTCTTTGCGCTTCCAGTTTAGGAGGGGCCCAGGTAGTTATCGCCTTCTGGACCCCTCCCAGCGCCGGCCCGCTCCTGGTGCGGGCTCCGTCTCCGAGACCTCTCTTTTTAGGCGACGTCCGGCACACACGGACGCCGCCCCCTCGCGGCTGGCCCAACTAATGCGGGTGGAGGGGAGAGCCCATCCCGTCCACCCGCGGCCACACTCAGGGCGGCATGAGGCGCAGGTAAGCGCGCCTCCGCCGCCCGGTTCGCCGGCGGCGTATCGGGTCCGAGTGGAGGACGACCTCCCGGGCCTTCTCCGCCGCCTTCTTCTGCGAGATTACTTCCTCGCAGAAGGTTATCTGAAACAAAAAAACCCTATACCAACCCGTCTGGCCAACGTGGTATAGTAGGTCAAACCCTCCTTTTTAAGGAGAGGCCCGTGTCCAGCAGTGGACCAGTAATGGCTGTCGATGATTAATTAACTTTGTAAAATTTTAGTATGCAATTTACCATTTACTCGCAGTCGGTTCTTTTTTGAGTAATTAGCTTGTTTACGTATACTCTAATAATTGATAAAAGTTTAGTCATCAAATTTGATACTTTAAGGTGAATAGGTATTCAACAGGGGAATGCACTGGGACCGCAAGGTAATTGCGACTTATGCCCCTTGGAAACGGGCGATTGTAGATCGGCACAGGCATATGAGATATTTTGAATACGTGTTATTGACTGCACAGATAGCGTAGTGGTTTAAGCGGTCGTCACGCCGCTTACTACTACGCTGAGTGCTGTCGGTCCGACCCCACATGTGACGTTGTTGTTGTTCTGAGTCTGGGTGTTCTTTGTGTCCGTTTCATAAATGTTTGTAAAGTCCCCCGCGACACAGGATTTATTCCTATAGCGGGAGTTGTCTTTAAAAAAAAGTATATATTTAGTTTGCTAAATATTTGACAAAATAGAGATTGTGTGTGTTGATCTATCACTTTAGAGTCTACACGAGAAACAAATGAAATAAATATATTTTAAGTTTGAACACGAGCAGTAATATTATATTTGAAAAAGGATATTATTCGAAAATAGTTTCTAAATACATGAACAACTCTTAAACAAGCGGCCTAAAGAAATAGTAAACTATTGTGTGTGAATTGTTCCCACAATTGTCAAAGGTTGTTGAATACATAATAAATAGTAGCTAGTACGAATAGTTTTTGTTTATGTATTACTGGTTATGAGAGTTTGAACACTGTCATTGATAGTGAACGTGTTTGTGTTAATATTGTTCGTGTATCATTCTTTTTTGTATGGTGTAGGGGATAAACCATATCCTATATATAGAGATTATGGCTTTGGTTACCTTAGTAAAAGCAACAAAAGAACTGCGTAACACCGGTATTCTGTGAGACCGTATTCCCGCTCCGGTCAAGCCCTGGTTCGCCGATCTTTGTTGGGTTTTGTTCGTGGGTTATTCGTTGTAAATTTGCTTCACTTCGTCTAACTATATCAGCTCGTGTACTCTTCGCTATTCTCACAAAAGTTTTTATCGGACTGTGGTGACTCCCACATAAAAAAAAACAGAAACATGCTACAACGCCATCTAATGAAGACACACCGAACTACGAAGTAACTACTAAAATAAGAATTGCTAATCCTGTATCGCGATATAAAGAATTCCCTCGCCGATTAGCATATATACAACTTCCCAACATCAACCGTTGGGCCGCGGCCCGCCAGGCATGATCACCTCGCCTGGTCGGAGGATCCTCCCTTTGTGTTGGAGGGACATGACACCCGTTCCTCCACACGGACTAACCAAGAGCGACTTGTTTATACATATAATTAGATTATATTTGATACTAGCTGGTACCCGGAGGAATTTCATAACCGCTGCCTTAGTGGTGTAGACGGTACGCGATTGCAGTCCATAAGGCTTCGGGTACGTTTCCCTGACCGGGTTAAATTTTATAGGGTTTTTCTGAGAGGAAAAATAGCCTAAGTAACTCCTTATATAGACAGCTACCTGGTATTAAAATATTACCAAAATCAAACAGACACAAAGACAGACAAAAAATATTTAAACTAGTTTTTAGGCATAAGTACCGTGCAACTACCTGTGTAAGCATGAAAAAAAAAAACGATTATTCAGATATTACAAACAGACACTTCAATTTATTAATTTATTTGTATAGATTTTATAGATTATTCTGAATCTTTGATAATGCTGTCCATTACAGACTGCGAAGCAATATCAATATGGGCGTTAAACAGGCATGGCAATAGGAATCCAGGTTCAAGCGTAGCAATTGGTATGAGGGCGATCGCCGATTTGAAAGATGAGATCATAGCCAGCTACGAGGCTGGAGACAGCAAGCTTTGCAGTCAGGTATACTTATCTTTTTACCCATATCTGAGTATCGTCCGTGTGGTGACGGATTTAGAATACAGAGTGTCACCACCCCTATTCTTCCCGTGAGTGTCGTAAGAGTCGACTAAGGGAGTAAACTACGCACTACAACAGCACTGCAGAGAGAAGGAAAACTTGACACAAACCCTATACCAACACGTCTGGCCAGCGTGGTATAGTAGGCCAAAACCTCCTTTCTAAGGAGAGGCTTATGTCCAGCAGTGGACTATTAAAGGCTGTTGATGATGATGATGATGATGATGATGAGTAGAGATAAAAGATATTTTCAAAAGCTTAATAATGGCTTAATTGAATTCAATCGATGAGTGCCCGTCGACTGCGAGCTACGTTTAGAAGAGGTTATGTAAACCAAAGGGGGTATAATAATAATCACAAATAGTCTTTCAAAATTAATAGCCGTAAGCAGAGCAAAAGGTGGTAAAATACTTAATGAGGTAAAAGAGTAGAAAATTAAAACGCCCAATTTAAAACAAATGGAAATTGAGGAGTTAGAAGTGGACGACTATTGATCAAATAGAATTGTTGAAACGGAAAAAATCAAATAAATGTAGTCAGAGGAATGTAATTTCTAAATGTAAGGATTTTATAAATAACTAGCTGACCCTGCAAACGTTGTTTTGCTATTTACATTATTTAATTTTTTTTTTTTTAATTTCTTAAAATCCGTTCTTAGCTGACCTCTACTCGGTGAAAAGAATATTCCTACCAAATTTCAAGTCTTTAGCTCTAATGGTTCCAGAGATATCGTGATGAGTGATTATATACGTGGAAATCTCTTATATATATATAGATGAACAATTGACTTGACGTCCAGATGGCGTAGTGGTTTGTGTAACGGACTGCTATTCCAAAGGTCGCGGGTTCGATTCCCTCTCAAGTCAAACATTTGTGTGAATGAACTTTTAATATTTGATTTGGTCTGGGTGTTTCTATGTATAACATGTATGTATTTACAAAAAAAAAGTATATATGTATTTATTTCAGTTGTCTAGTACCCATAGTACAAGCTCTGCTTAGTTTGGGACTAGATGGCGTTGTGTGAATGTGGTAAAAAAGAACAGAACATATTCAATAATATATTGAACTAATCTACACGCTTTTGTGTTTCAATCAATATAAACGCGACTAGAACGCTCGTGGTATCTAGGTATATTAGTAGTCCAATACATTTTACTATTGTTGACTGCTCAGTAACTCACACATACATATTTATTTACAGGTATAATTACAACCCTCAAAATATACCAAAACTCACACAAAAATATCTAAATTCGTTTACAGGATATAGACAACTTTAGAAACTGGTATTGGAATGACACTATTGATGTAAGCCACTCCTACCTCACCGGTGTTGGGTACGAAGAACTCTTTGGAATTGGTAAAAGAATTCAAGAAAAATACCCTGACTTGTTCAACGGTCAACCAGAGGAGTTCTACTTTAGACCTACAAACGAACAGAGAACTGTCACTAGTTGTATGGCTTTTGTCCAGGGGATCACTAATGGACTCAATTTGAACGTGACAGTCGAAGGGCCTCGCGATATAGATGATATTATCAGAGTAAGTGGAGATTGTTATTTATTTGACCACTGGGTGCCATAGATATTGACATTATTAGCATCCTTGTGTATTGGCAAAATTTAATTCCATTCTTTGCGGTGCTCTGGTAAACATCAGAGCGCGGAGTCCATTCTACAAATTCAGCTTCGGTGTTAACAAATTGCGTTGATGTTCTATACCAATCCTAAGTAATATAAAAAGTTCGAAAGTATGTTTATTTGTCTTTTTACGCCGCCTTTACGTCTTAACCATTTAATTGATTAACATAAAATTGTGTATACCTATATAACAATACGTGCATAAAATTTTGATGTTGCGAGGCAGTTAATGCGTAAAAGCGTCCACACATTAACTAATTTTATTTTTATTTTTTATGGTAAAAGGGGGCAAAATGAGCAGACGGGTCACCTGATGGTAAGCAACTACACCACCCATGGACACTTGCAACTCAAAAGTCACAAGTTCGTTGCGGCCCTTGGAGTTCCTCCAGCTCGAGTCATCGGGAGGGGGAATTTAGCCTCCTGTAACCTAACTCACTCAGTGTAAGGCAACGAAAGAATTGCTTATCACCGGTTTTCTGTGAGGCCGTTGTATCACTCCGGTCGAGCCGGCCCATTCGTGCCGAAGCATGGCTCTCCTACGGAAGACTCCCAACTCCCACTCCTATTTTAAACGGATTTTATTTGTAAGTGATAGAAACGACTTTTCTTTACAGCCCTATTCACACTGTGATCGGTATCAACGAGAAGTGAAAGAAGGCGAGGTCTTGGCTGAACAGCTGGATTATTATTTCCAATCCGAAGAATACGTTGCTGTAAGTACTTTCACACAAAATAAAATATTAATAATGTAATAATAAAACATTCCAAAGATGTAATAACAAAGAGAAATTAACACAAGTCAAGGAATAACAAGGACTAAGTACCACCTGGTACCACCTGTATTCTCTGCAAATAAATGTTTCTTTCTTTCTTAAGTTTATTTAAACTCTCAGGTGTATGAAAAGCATGTTGTTTTTCTCCAACACAAAGAGTGGCCAGGCTACGTTTTTTGCCAGGCATTTAAAAAAAGACATTCATGAGTGTGCTAGTTTTGAGATACGGAAGACGACAACCATTTACTAGCTCAGATGGATATTGTACAATACCAGAATTACTTTGTTACAGGTCCAGGCTGCCGTACAAGAACGGCTAGGCATCAAGACACCACTAGACGTTTTCAATATCTTCTCAATTTACGAAATGTGTCGTTTTTATCGTTCCTGGACTGAAGTCCTTCAGTCTCCTTGGTGCGCCGCCTTCAGTGATAAAGACCTTTTGGTTTTAGAATACTATGATGACATCAGACATTATTATAGAAATGGCTATGGGTCTAAGGTAAGGGTTTCGGTATATATTTTTCATGCAGCAATACTAGATGACTGCTGCAAGAAGGTAAATAAGCTGCAGTTTACGGGGGGGACAGTATGAAAAACTCGGTATGGGATTAAAGCTGAATGCCATTTTCGTTAAATTGAAACTAAGTTTAAGAAGGAAAAAGTTAAAATGAGAGACAAAATGATGCGAATAAATAGTAATATTGTCTTTTAAATCATTATCTGCTGGTGTCGATCTTGAATTGCCCCATTACCACATAAATATTTAAAATTTAAAACCCCTGTAACTACGGAATTTAGAGTCTAGAAGGCATTACAATGTCGTTTTTTTATCCTGAGTAAAAGTGCATTACAATATTATATACATCCTTATAAATCTTCTTATCTTAAAGACGTTTTGAATTCTTATGCAATACACATTACAGGAATCAAAGATCATCCGACATTCCACATTGCTTACAGACCCTTTCGGTGCATAAAGAAAATTGTTTTTTACCAACAGGTCAATGTGAACCTTGGAAAACCCCCTCTCAAAGATTTATACGAAAACTTTAAATCGGCTGTCAACGGCAAAGGCAGGAAAGTAACATCCTATTTCACGCACGACACAATGATGGAAATGACTTTATCTGCTTTGGGAGTTTACAAAGACGAGGCACCTCTTCAGAGTACAGTCAGGAATGCCGATAGAATATGGAGGACCAGCTTCATTGGAGCATTCTCATCTAATTTGATAGCTGTATTGAACAGGTAAAGATCGATTCCCACTCAAGTCAAATATTTGAGTGCATGAACATTTAATGTTTGATTTGGTCTGGGTTTTTCTATGTATAATAAATGTGTATTTACAAAAAAATATGTAAATATTTATTTATATCAGTTGTCTAGTAGCCATAGTACAAGCTCTGCTTAGTTTGGGACTAGATGGCGGTGTGTGAATGTGGTAGAAAATTATTATTTTATATCCATGTAGATAATTTTGATATCGACGAGATAATAGATGACTTAAAAAGATGCTAGATAATGTTATGTCAATCTAAAATAGGTTTTTAGAAAATCTTTTCAGATTTAAATATTTTTTTTCTTCAGTCTGAAACATTTTTTGGAGGGTTACGTTGACCCTAGTGTTTTTAACTGACTTCAAAACAGGAGGAGATTCTTAATTTAATTGTTTATTTTTTATGTTTGTTACGACAAAACTCCGTCATTTATGAACTAATTTGGAAAATTATTCGATTTTTTTAAAGGACATACTTTTTGTTTGGTCCAATAAAAATTTATAGGAGAAATGCCTCCTGGAAATGTGAAAATTAAACGAAGAATACAGTTTAATACAATTCATTAAGAGTTAACTATACAAGAGAAATCCATTTACTCTAATTTTGAACGAGCCAGGATCTTAATTGTGTTAGATTTTATAGAATAGACGGAGGCAGTTCATTTGAGACTTCGGCGACTTGAAGCAAGAAAGAGCTGACAAAAGTTTACTTTAAGATTTTGGTGTTTCGGTAATAGGCTTGTGTCCACTAATAACAAATTGCTTGGCTTATAGTTTCAAATTATAAATGAAGAGACATAGATAAGAAAAAAAGAGTCTATTTCTCATAAAAGTTAAAGATTATTAATATATAAAAAAAAATCGAACAAAATATTCATTAAGTCACGTGACAGCGAACACCAATCAGAAAGTGTTACGTCACGCCACGCAAAACATCATTGTTATTGTTGACGTTTTCATACAACAGAGCAGGTTACTCCTTATTGTTTTACGTTTTTAGCATATTTTCTCACCTTAATACAGTTTCAGTTGACACTGGACACAGATGTAAACAGTTTTGTTTCGCAGACAGTGACGTCATTCAAGACGCCATGACACTATTAAGCGTTTTCAAGGGAAATATAAATTGTTTTTTTTTAATACAAAATACGCAATGTAAATATTGCTTTTTCTTTAAAATATAGTTATTTTGGGATGAAATAGATATTAAAGTATATAATTAAAAAAGTTTTCAAATTGAGTTAACTAGCCTATTGTAGAGTGTCTGTGTGCACCTAAGTACTCCAATGTTCCTACGGATTCGTGTAAAGATAACTTTTGCACAGTCACCGAACTAAATCCTATAAAAACTAATAAGCAAGCTAATTTATGACTAAATTTTATAGATTATGTAGTTACTTCCCTTGAAAAGAATGCTTAACACTCATTTTATACTCTATATATTTTCTATAAATAAAAAGCCTTTCACAACCAATCTATAAAACAAGTTATCATCTGCGGTATTTCCGGACCGATACGACTTTCAAGAAAAGAGCGTACTCCTACCCAAAAGGCCAGCAACGCTCTTGTGACTCCTGAGTCGCAGGCGTTCATGGGCATTGGTAGTCACTTCCCACCAGGTGACCCTCTACCGTAAAAAAAAGTTTACTCCAATTAAGTGTTTGTTTGTTTTTTTTTAAAGACAACTCATGCACTAGGAATAAATCTTGTGTCTTTATAAACACTCATTAAACGGACACAAAGGACACCAATACCAAGGACAACAATTTTCGTTTCACACACACACAAAGAACACCCAAACTCAGAACAACAATTTGTGGATCACACAAAGTGTTGTCCCATGTGGGGATCGAACCCACAATACCCAGCGCAGAGGCAGCGGCGAGGTGACCGCTTAGACCATTACGCCATCCGTGCAGTTAAGGTTAGGTTAAGTGTCTCTCGATGTCTTAACAACAGCAGTTCCCGGATCCCTTCTATTACAAGCGCAGAGTGGCACACCGTGTGGTTTTAGTCGGTCCGATTCGAACACACCACCTCGCCGCAAACCCCGGTGATGGCCCGAGGGGGATTCCACACGTAAAAAAAATGTGTCTCTCAAAATATACAATATATTACGTCAGATATCAGCTGATAATGTTCACACACTTTCATAAACTTCCGTGTGCTGTCCACGTTGCTGTCACTCATCGATTTCTTAACTGGTATCTTATCTGTTATGATTACTTCTGTTGCAGTGTTAGTCATTATTATCATTATTGTAATAAAGTTATATCACAACATATTTACGTAAAATAATCTAATACGAGACAATATTTCTGACATAAAATAACTCTCAGCATTAAAGGTCCTCTGATGGTCGAATTCGGACCAAAATAGAATTACTTATCATAGCAGATCAACAAATATACTAATGTACTACTCGGCTATGTTCGTGTCGGAGTGTACGTAATACGAAGTGTCACCCACCCTATTCATCCCGTAGGGGTCGTAAGAGCCGATTAAGGGAGCAAACTACGCAGGACAACAGCACTGCAAAGAGAAGGGAAACTTGAAACAAACCCTATACGAACTTGTCTGGCCAGAGTGGTATAGTGGGCCAAAACCTCCTTTCTAAGGAGAGGCCTATGTCTAGTGGACTATTAAAGGCTGTTGATGATGACTACTCGGCTAGTATATTTTTTATTTTTTTTTAGCTATTTTTAATTTTTTATTTTTTTTATTTTTCTCATATATGTATGTGTATGTGTATGTATATATATATGTGTATGTATGTATGTATGTATATATTTATGAGTATGTATATGTATGTGTATGTGTGTGGTATTACGACGTATACACCAAATTCCAAGATAGTTGGTATTTAACAAAACCACCTTATACGTTTATACCCTATCATAAATGCACCTACCTCATTCTTTCTCAGCATCGCCCAATCGGTCGACTGGCAGAGAATGCCTTAGGCATTAAGTCCGCCGATGCATGTACTTGTGCAAAAAGTTAAAAATAAAATAAATAAATAAATATATTTGTCATACCACGTTTTTAAAATTTTGGCTTTGTAAACTTCCTTTATATTTACAGAAGCTCTAATTATTTCAAACTTATCGTCCCACGGTTCGCGATATTTTCTTTAAATCGCAGAATCATCTGCTCGAATCTTTTGTTGCCTCGTTCCTTAGTTCCTAGTCTGCCTTATAACAGACGCACAAAACTGTATAAATCGTCTGTTATAGACGTAAGGACCTCCATCGTAATGAACATGAAAATACTACTTTAAATAAAAAACAAAGTAATTCTAAATTCAGTCAGCCGACATGACTGCAGCTAAATATATTTTTTTCAGTACATGGGTACGGTTGTCTAAAAAACGGTTTTAATATATTACCAACTAGCAGTTGGCCGCGACTTCGTCCGCCTGAATTTCTAACGACAAACAGTATTCATGTATGTGTATATAATTATATTTAATTTAATAGACAATATAAATTAGGAGATGGCTGTAATGAGTGACTATTTCATTTATTATCCAATACTGTTGAACTATTATCTAGCTTACAATAATGCTTCTCTATACACAGTTTTATCCGTATAGGCGTCGGTAATCAAAACATACAGTTTACTAAGATTACTGAGCTAACTATAGTGTAAGATATAAAATATTTATTATTTTTTCTTATTTGAAGTGCGTCAAATGTACAGATTGCTTTTAATTATCTACTAACCCAACATAACAAAATATATTAGAAAAGAATATGCACATAATTTGACAATAAAAATCGCTTTCTTACGTGTAAACACTTATTTTATTAAATAAAAAACACTGTGGTTTCGTTATGAAGCGCTGTGCGCCTATGTTATACGTGCGTTCGCTACAAATAACTGAGTGCTAAGGTGCTAAGCTAATAATAGGGGAGCCTTAGAAGGCAGATGCGAATTAACCCGAATTATGCGAATTTAAAAGCAAAGTAGGCACGTGCCTAGGGGCGCGAGATTACTAAGGAGCGCGCGCGCAGAGTTTTTTAAAATTAAAAAATATGTACCTAAGATAATTAATAACATTATAGATTTTAAAAGCGTACTAAGGAATGACAGCAATATCCTTTGGTAGACTTCATAAGACAGAATGGCAGATTAAAATCTGGCAATCCGACTTACCATTAATGATAAATTATATTTAAATCTTTTCAGATATTTTAACAAGTCGGACTTTACAGCTAGAAAGCGCCCTCTGTCTCTCTGTTGCCGTTCATGCTAAAAACTCAGAACCGATTTTGATGAAATTTTGTACAGAGATAGTTTAAGTCCCGGGAAAGGACATAGGATAGTTTTCATCCCAGAACTCATCCTTTAAGGGAGCGAAGAGGGGGAATGAAGTTTGTATAGGGAATCAATAACCGTTAAACCGATTTAGGTGAAATTTGGTACTTCAATTATTTGACTCTTGTGGAAGGACGGGAAAAAAACTAGTAAGTTATAAAACTAAATCAAAGATGTGTTAATAGAAACACCATACATAAATACGCCTCATTCCCGTCCTGGGTACGCAGAGGCGATAGAACGCCATTTACCAAAATCCTGGTATACGATCCTAACTCTGGGTTATGGGGTCTTTTGAGATCCAGGTGTCTATGAGTGGCGGTAACTTAGGTCCGCCGTCAGGTTCGCTTGCACGTTCGCACCCTGTACTATTAAAAAAAACATACCCAACAATCTATGTATAATTATTTATTTCTTCACTATCATAAGTTTAATCTTCTTCTGACTATAAATTTCTAATTTATGTTTTCTAGTTGCAATGATGCGGGCCCAACGTACAAGGTGCAACTATTTATCAATGAAAAGGAAACGGAGATCTGTCCTGTCGATGGTTGCACCTGGGAAGAATTCCAGGACAAATTCCAGGCCTACAGCACGGCCAATCTAGACTTCTGCAGTGTGGATAATGAGAACAATTCCACTTCTTCAATTAATCGAATTTTGAGCTGGTCAAGGAGAAGTCATAGATATTAGTGTGTAAATAGTAGTTTTTAATATACAATTATAGAGAAGGAAAATAAAAATGGTTAGTAACTGTTTCAAACTTTACTGTAAAATGTAAAAAACAAATAGTGTTTGATGCAAATGTTCCAATAAAAGCTGTAAATTTTTCTAACTCGTTACGTCAATCAAGGAATGTGAAAATAATCGATTGGATCCAATCGACTTTAATCATATCTTAATAATCGAATATTGCTACTTACAGTCGTTATGAACATGACGACCATGAAGCACTGTTACTTAGATATTGCGTGTCATTTCTTAAAAGACTACTCCCGCACTAGGAATATATGTTACATACATACATGAACGGACACAAAGAACACCTAGACTCAGAACAATAATTTGTGGATCACACAAAGTGTTGTCCCATGTGGGGATTGAACCTACAACACTAGACGTGTTTGTTTGTGTTCGTGATTGTGTGACGTGACTAGTGCAACAACAAGAAACACATGTGATTTCAAAATAATTTCAACGCTCCTGTGACTGATTTACAAACCCACAGCTACTTAATTATTATTATTACGGAAGCGCGGCTCCCGAAATTTCTAAATTTAAGAAAAAAGGTCGTAATCTTTGATAAAAATAATTTTGATTGATTTTATTAGCACCGATCTTTGTTCATGACAAAATCACAATCACATGTGAAATCGATGTCACAAGAAGCAATCATTTCATCAAATGAATATGATTTAAAAGTAGCTATAATTTCCATGTCTACTAGGCGCAGTAGGAAGCGGCGAGGTGACCGCTTAAACCCCTACACTATCAGTGCTTTCCATCACTGGATATCATAAGGCCGCGGATACAGAAGATACTTGGTATATACTCATTTTTAACAAATTAATATAATTACACTATGTGAGTATTTATAATGAAATATTTGCAAGGAACTTATAACGACAATTAAAAATCTGTACGGTAGCGGTACATTTCAATCGCACTTTGTTAAAACTTTTATATTTGGCTATTGTTACGGTAACTGTTTCTGTGTTCATTATTTAGGCCAAAATTACGCCCATTTAAAAAAAAAATTAATATGGGATTATGAAAGAAAAAGTTCGACTCCCTTAGCTAACGATTATCAGCCAAATCAACCTTTAATTACTGCCTTCGAATCGTCTTTAACCTTCGTAAAACGACTATGTTTAGTTCTCTCGTCGCGAATTGAGCTGGCCCACGATTCATCAGTAGAGCCATCAGCTGCGCGCCCTTACTACCCTCTATTCCATTTTCAACTCACTTATTACCTCTTCCTACCTGAAATCCGTATTCCAATATCTATGTTCCATTCAGAACTATCCGTTCCTCAAACAATTCACTTGTGTTATGCTCTACTCAAATTTCACATGTGTCCACTGTTCGTTCCTAATCCAATTTGTCCTTCTCTGGATCGCTCTGCCTCGAAATCAGGATAGCATTTAGCCGCCTCTCATCAGCAGATTCTTCACATCCTTAAAGTTTTAAATATTATATTATGTGTATGTATGTAACTGATTAAGAATCTATGTATGTGTATTTCAGTATGTATGTATGTCTGTCACACTGTCTGTCCATCTCCTTAATTATTATTATCTTGTTAAACCAAAAAACTTAATCTCTAGTGCACTTACTCGGAGATTTCCTAGGATTTTATATTTAATTGACTGGGAGAAATTGCCTATGCCATTAAGTCCGCCATTGTACAATTAATTGTTATTTGTGCTAAAAGAATAAAATAAAATAAATTCGGCTTCAACTTCGTAAATAGGTCAGGTGTGCCACAGGGTATGCATTGGGCCTTACACTATTCTGTTTCCATAACTATGACGTAATATCATTGTTGTTTGAACCATATCGGGATGCCAATTTTGAGATATATAATACCATATTCGTGTCTGTTGGACCTTCGGTTTATTTTGTGCAAGTTCCATATTAGCTTACATACTGTGTCTGTGTGGTGACGGATTAGGAATACGGAGTGTCACCATCCCAATTCATCCCGTGGGTGTCGTAAGAGCCGACTAAGAGAACAAAAGACGCAGGACAACAGCACTACAAAGAGAAGGAAAAATTGAGCAAACCCTATACCAACCCATCTGGCCAGCGTGGTGTAGTAGGCCAAAGCCTCCTTTTTAAAGAGAGCCCTATATCCAACAGTGGACTACTAAAGACTGTTCATGATGATTGATGATACAATGTGATCTCAAAATATATGCGCACTTCTTGTCTGTGTATCTTAAGCGAGAAACCATAACTGACGATCTCCGTATGCGGCGAAAGCCTATTCGACTGTCCGTCGAAGATTAAAGCATTCGTAAGTATTCGATTCCCGCTCACTTCAAATGTTTTTATGCATTAGTCTAGGTATTTCTATTCGTTATGTGTATGTATTAAAAAGATTTATTTATGATAGAAAGTGATATGTAATATATAACAGAATACTAAATACCAGTATTCTGCCTCGGCATTTCTAAAACTATAAATGCTTTTAAGATCTAATGATCTTCATTAATATTTTATGGAAGTTCTGGAAGTTTTTAATCATTGAAATAAAAAGTCAAATGTAGTATTTTATGACAACGATATCGCTTTATTAGATGTCAAAATGAGAATAGCGAGAGAGGCTTGCGGGCCGGTTGCGGTGCGGGGGGTGGGGGGCGTGTCTCAGTTGAACATGCGCAGTCGCAGCCCGCGGGCGTCTCTCGCCAACTCGCACTCTCGATACATACTCCACGGTAATAAATAATATAAATAAATATCAACAAGTTACAAAATAGCCTTTCGTAAAAAGATTAAATCACTAAAGTGTATATTTTTTTGTTGGCTTACAATTTTTTTTACAGTTTTTCGTTGCACGCTTTTGTAACACGGTATTCAACTGCTATGTATAAAAAAAAGTTACATTTCAACGAAAAATCTGTACAGTCCGTTTTTTGTAGTGGAACGTTTAGAAATCTTCAGGCGCCAGGTCGAACCTTGGTGGGAAGGTGCCGAAGCCGTCAGCGAAGGTGGGACGCGGGCGCTGGGGCTGCCAACATACAAAATATATCATTATCTTGTTGATTATGAGAGTGATCATCCACGCATGCGGGAAGCATTCCTAGTATACAAATTATAATCAATGAGATCTGAGCCATTATATGCTAGATATTTATTACTGTTTGTCCAAATTACATCTGAAATGAATTATTTTTGAGACGAATGCTTGATAATAAGATAAGTCAGATTTCACTGAGGACTCAATACAAATGGAATACATAAGTAGATATACATGGGGATCATTTCACGGATGCTATTCTACAAGAGCTGCACTGACCATGGTGCTGTAAGGTGGCGTGCAAAAGTAGCTAACTTACATAAAAGTCCAGTGATGATTTATGGACGCCCTTTAATGGACGCCTGGATCAAAGAATACTGTTTAGTATCTCAGAAATAATTTTAAGGTATTGCATTTTCTTTAGAAATATCAGTGGAATTCAAAATACCATTAACTGGTTTGTTAGTTTTTTACATATTTTTTTTGTAATTAAATTCACCGACTTCCTTATAAAGCGATGAAGTCCACAGATATTTCTTGTATATTACATATTTATAAACTTACCGCCGGACTGACTCCTCTCGCGGCGGAACCCGCACGTCCTTTGCCACGGAATTTGCTGATGGCCTGCTCGGCAAGGTCTGCTCTTTCTTCAGCCTCCTCCAACTCCTGCTGTGCCTTGCGGAACTTAGCCAAGTTGAGGGCGGCAATTTCTTCCGCCTCCTCGATCTGCCTCTTGTAGGTCTTGATCTTCTGTTGCAGTTTGTCAACCAGGTCCTGCATACGTTCGTGGTTCTTGCGGTCCTCCTCAGCCTGGAAGGTGAGCTCCTTGATACGCCTCTCTGATTTGCGGAGGTTCTTCTGGGCATCAGCGTGCCTTCTCTGTTCACCGTCAAGTTCGTTCTCGAGCTCCCTAACTCTCTGTTCGAGCTTCTGAATAGCCTTTTTGCCTCCTTTGAGTGCGTTAGCCTCGGCCTCGTCCAGCCTGACTTGTAGTTCCTTGATCTGTTGTTCAAGGGCTTTGCGTAGTTTCTCCTGGGTCTGAGCATGCTCCTGTTCAGAGCGGAGCTCGTCAGCCAAACGTGCAGCGTCAACCATAGCCTTCTTGGCCTTCTCTTCAGAGTTCTTAGCCTCATTGAGGAGTTCATCGAGGTCGGAGTGGAGGGTCTGCAGCTCAGACTCGAGTTTCCTCTTGGCAGCAGACAGGGAGGCGCTCTGGGCGGACAGCTCGTTAAGCTGTTCGTGAGCGTCACCGAGTTCCTGTTCAGCTTGACGGCGGGCGCGGTCAGCCTGTTCAAGCAGAGTACGCGACTCCTCAAGTTCGTTCTGGAGAGCATTAGCGCGGCGCTCAGAGATGCCAAGCTGTTCACGTGCATCATCGCGGGCGCGCTGTTCCTCCTCAAGGGCGGTCTGGAGGTCCTTGATCTGGGCCTGGTAGCGCTTAATGTTCTTCTGGGCCTCAGCGTTAGCCTTGTTGGCGTGGTCGAGGGCAATTTCCAGTTCGTTAATGTCAGCTTCAAGCTTCTTCTTCATGCGCAGGGCCTCAGCCTTGCCCTTAGCCTCAGCTTCGAGGGAAGCCTGCATGGAGTCGAGGGCACGCTGGTGGTTCTTGCGAGTGTTCTCGAATTCTTCCTCCTTCTCCTGGATACGCCTGTCGATCTCCTGTCTGACCTGAGACAGCTCAAGTTGCGCACGCAGGACCTTGTTCTCCTCTTGTTCAAGAGCGGATTCAGCCTCCTCAAGGGCGGCCTGGAGCTCATCCTTCTCAGCTTCAAGGCGCTTCCTTGCCTTCTCAATCTCGTGGATGTTGCGGCCACCTTCACCGATCTGGTCAAGCAAGTCCTTGACTTCGTCGGCGAGGTTCTTGTTCTCACGGCGCACAGCCTCAAGCTGCTCCTGGCCTTCTTCGTAGGCACCCTTGAGACGGAAGAGTTCGGTAGAGTAGTTGCGGCATTCCTTCTGGCTGGCATCAAGCTCGGCGGCGAGGTCGTCGACCTTGAGTTTCCATTCTCCAATAATCTTGTCGAAGGCCTTCTGCTTCTTCTCAGCAGCGTTGGCGATGGCAGTAGCACGGTCGACCTCAAGTTGCAGGTCCTCAACCTCAGTGGCGAGACGCTGTTTGGTCTTCTCAAGTGCAACAACCTTCTGGTTGAGGGACTCAATGGTTTCCTCGGCCTCTGCAAGGCGAGCCTGGAGCTTGCGCTTGGCCTCCTCGAGTTCCTCGGAGCGGGCAACACCCTCGGATTCGTACTTGGAACGCCAGAGCTGGGACTCGGCGTTGGCCTTGGACAGTTGGCGCTGCAGATCAGCCTTGCCCTCGGCTTCCTCTTCGACCTGTTCGCGGATGTTATCGAGGTCATGCTCCAAGTTGCGGAACTTGCCAAGGAGGGTAGCGCGTTCCTGTAGAAATAGAATTAATTAATTTTGGGTCATGGTTTGTCAGGCTTCAGTATGTTCCTTTTTGCATAAGGACTACCATTAATATCTGAACTACATACCCTGGCTTCCTCGTCAGCGAGCCTCTTGGTGTCCTCCAACTGAGTGGTAAGGGACACCTTGATCTTGGAGAGCTGAGACACCTGGGACTCGGCCTCTTCCAACTGGCGAAGGAGGTCGGAGTTCTCAATAGACAGCTTCTTCTTAGCGGCATCCAGGTCATTGAGGGTCCTGTTGGCCTCATCAGCCTTACTCTGAACTTCGTTGAGTTGGTGTTGCAGTTGCTTAACAATCTTCTCTTGAGCAGCCTAAGCAAAATAATTGATTAATACTATGAAATAATTACATTAAGTTTCAATTTAGAATGCATGTACAAATTGATATGTAATTTAATACTAGTAATAGTATGTTAAAAAATAAGTAGTGAATAAAATTTAATAAATCACAAAACGAACAGGTTACTGCAGAAATGTCAAAACATTAATAACAAAAAGTTAAAGAGAGAAAAATAAATTTTAGAACTAGTATTAGGTTTTAACTGACACCAAAATATCATAGAATAGTTTAAATTTTATTTAAAAACTCTTTCATGCATTTCTTTTTAATAGTATTCTAAATTTAGAAAGTTGTATTTTTAGGTATTATTACAACAGTCACTTAAAGTGGAGGCGGTTTTAGCTTTCATGGCATATCTATTCAGATGATCGGATTAGTAATATTAATGTCTTCGTCATGGGTATATTAAGTGTGATGTGTTTTCTTTGATGTATTCTCTTCAGATATTTAATAAGCTGTAAAGCGAAGCTTTTCAATACTGCCAACATTATTTTTCATCCTTTGTACCTTTTCGTTGGACAAGTGGTCGACACCTGCACGAAGGTCATTGACTTCGCTAAAGTACTGAGAGCGTTCTTTCTCAGCCCTGGATAGATGAATAACAAAACAATTTTAGTATTCCGTCAACAACTGTCCTACACGGTGAGGAATCGTACAAGAATCATGTGTGTTGTGGGTCGTTGTAACATATAGGTCCATGCAAGGTTCACCCCAGGCTAATATGCCTCAAAGGATGACATGTTACCTTCTCTCTGGCCACTTGATCAATGGCAGCGCGAGTGTTGTTAAGCTCGTTGTAGCAAGACGCGCGGTCATGCTCAGCCCTGAATATTGCATTATAGATCAATAAACCTATATTTAAATCCGATTATAAATCCAGATGTATCCGTTCACGGATTTCGACTAATCACCGATAGTAATAAAACAAGACGTAAATCACTCTAGCTAATGGTGTTTAAAAGTAATAAAATTAAATACTTACTTGGCCTTGAGCTTGTTGAGCTGGTCGAGCTGCTCACCCATTTCGGAAACGGCATCGTTGTGCTTCTTGCGCAGGTTGGCGAGGGTAGACTCGTGCTGGATGTTGGCTTCCTCCAGGTCACGGCGGAGCTTGCTGAGCTCAGCCTCACGCTTCTTGTTGAGCTCAATCTGGGCAGAGGTAGCACCGCCAGCCTCTTCCAGACGTTCACCCAACTCTTCGAGTTCGCGAGCAAGGTCAGCACGCTGCTTCTCAGCCTTAGCGCGAGCCTGGCGTTCAGATTCAACTTCCTCCTCGAGCTCCTCAATGCGTCCTTGCAGTTCCTTGATCTGTTTCTGCAGTTTGCTGACAAGAGATTGCTCATCCTCAAGTTTGGCAGTGAGGGATGAGATTTCCTTGTCTTTGCGCTGGATGGTCTGTTCAAGCTCCTTTTTGTTCCTCTCGAGGTCAGAGACGGCCTCTTGAGTAAGCTTGAGGTCTCCCTCAACCTTCCTCCTGTTCTTCTCAACATCAGCGCGAAGTTTCTTCTCGCGCTCAAGAGAGTCCTCGAGCTCGTCAAGGGTCTGCTCCAACTTCTGCTTAACCTTGTTGAGGTGGTTGACCTTGTCCTCAGCGGCCTGGAGTTCTTCAGAGGTCTTCTGGTTAGATTCACCCTGGAGTTTCTTTTCCTTGTTCAACTTGTTGATGAGCTCGTCCTGGTGGGCGATCTCGTCGTTCAAGTTGCGGATCTGGTGGTCCTTGGTAGCCTTATCCTGTTCGGATTTCTGGACAGAAAGTTCCAAGTCCTCAACATCCTTCTTCAGTCCAGAGACTTCCTGTTCCAACTTCTTCTTAGCCTGGAAGAGTTGGTTACGGGCATCTTCCTCCTGAGTAAGGCGGTCCTGGGTGTCCTACAAATTAAAAATAATAAAATTATTTTTCCGAGTGAGGTTTTATTTGAGACATCTGCGTTTTATAGTACGCATCTGCTTCTTTTCTATCGCCACGTAATCGATCAATGTAATTGCGTATTTGCAATAAAACCGTATGAACTGCATACCTACAGTTATGTTAAACACACTGAAATTGTTTTCCGTGTAAACAAAACTAGAGTTTATTTAAGGAATCGAGTCTTGTTAACTTGTGAGTTAACTTGCAACATTGTATAAGATATAATATGAATGCACATATTTGGCTCGTGACACTACATGGTTTTCCGTCGCAGGAAATGTCGTCTTAATTAATTAGATTAATGAGCTTTCATATTTTCATCACTTAAGCTCGACGACCTAAATTCTAGTTTCTAATTTCAGTTTCACTGCTAATTACTATACTAATAATTACAAGTATTACAAGCTTCAACTATTTTTAATACTTTTTTAATGAAAAAATCTATGCCTATTATTAACATTATAAAGTACTTACCCTAAGCTGGATCTCGAGATCAGCCTTCTGGGCATTGAGTTTTGCAGCGCGTTCCTGGATCTCGGAGAGGTTGCCCTCCTTGCCTTCGATGGAAGAAAGCAGAGCCTGCTTCTCTTCGAGCAATTTGGCGTTAAGGCTTTCAACTTCTTTGCGGAGCTTCTCTTCCTTCTCGAAAGCCTCCTGAGCTTTTTGTGCCTTCTCAGTGAGAGCCTGTAACACATTCGCACCGTTATCCTCGTTCCACTCCGATAAATGAACCGCCGACGACATTGTATATTATTTAATTAAAACATAAATAATAAAGACTAAAAGGAATGCAAAAGTATTCGGTTCGTTCGTAAGGTTTGGAAGGGTAGGTGCACGCGCCGCCGACCACTCCGCTACTGAGAGTCGCTGGAGTTTTCCAGCGGCGCGGGTTGAACGTCGCCCACGCCACTCTAACATTGTGGGCAATGGAGAAAACGGCTGGAGGGGGCGCGTTCCAGAAATGGATCCGCACCTGCGGTGTCGCGTAACCGACAGGTGGGCGCGGTCGATCTATTTATATTACTGAATCAGGCGTCCTACATCCGTATGTGCTGGATCATTTTTATCAAGATCAGAGTGACACACATAAGGCGCAACTTTTAAATTTTATTATTAAAGTTCTAATTACTTTTTAGAAAAATATTTGTAATACATATATTTTTTCTTAGCGTAAGTCGAAATAATACTTTTTAGCATTAAGGTTGATTTCACCTGTAAAATAATTTACTATAATGAATACTTACAGCAATCTCATCCTCGATACGAGTGACGTTGAGGAGAGGCTTGACCTTCTGCCACAGTTTCCACCAGGGCCAGGTGCGAAGTTGCAGGTACTTGCGCAAGTTGCGCTGGACAACTTGGAGAGCCAACCTTCACAAATAAAAAAAAAATAAGTGCCAAACGCACAGGACTTTAAGCCTATCCAAAGAGATTTTTTTTAATAATAGTTTACCTCTGTTCCTGCAGCTTCTTGTAGTCCTTACGGGACAGGTAACCACGGATGTAAGCCTGGAGCCAGGAGACAATCTTCGACAATCTGTCGTCACGCAACTCTTCCATCTGACCCAGGACACCGGCGCGGAAGAATACCTGCTCACACATTGCAATTGTTAAGGACGGAGCACGTGGTGTGCTGGTGTTAAATATATCAATATAATACTTTTTTAGGTTTGTATTACAGGATTAAATTAACGAATTGTGAAATTAAACATTATAATTTGCAAAAGAAAAAGTTTTTCAGTTAGTAAGTCAAAGACACTTATTTATAAATATTTCTTAAGAATACACTTAAACACTAGATGCACACAAAGATAAGAAGAGAAGGAATAAAATTATTTTAGTTACTGCGCCATGCAATGTAGGTAGAAAAGGAAGTTTAGTATTGTGTCGGTTGTGTACGGCATGCTTTAGCTCTACCTTTGTCTTTCCGATTCTAAAAGACTCCGAATCCAAGCCGGTATGTTCAAGGATTTTCTTGGTAGCATTCTCAGGTGTAATGGGCTCTTTGATGAGGTTCGGGCACAGAATTTTGTATCTGCGTTGTAGGAGTACACAAATATAGTAAAGGAATGTATTGTGTAACAGGTAAGGAAAAGAGGAATGCACACAGGAGTCATAGTACATTGGACTCCGAACACGTAAAACGTAAAAGGTATTGAATTATGACACCAGTCTTATAAGGTGCTGAATTCGGATAAAGCTAATTTAAGCCTCGTGATCCAGCAGGTATTTTGAACCGCAAGTCTCAAACTGCTAACTACTATCAGGGGTATCAGACATGCCTTGGTGTGACCCAGACGGTAAGATTCGACGTCCAAGCCGGTAGCATCCAGGATGACCTGAGCGATTTTCTTAGGATCGGATTCCTTCTCCACAGCTTGAGGGGCCAGGATCTTGTAGCTACATTATCAAAATATGAGGACACACAATGAGGGGTTGTTGTATTATAGTTGTTCACATACCAATACAGAGATACAATGTCCTTAGTATCTTCTAGGGCTGAATGGAAGGGTAAAGGTATAACAGAAATTTCTGAAATCATTTTTATGTTTCAAAAATTTCCATGCAATAGGTGTAAAAAGGAACCATATGACCACATGACAATATCTAGATTGAGGTGTGGGCTAGGTGCAAAACCATGATTCACTAACTACTATTACTGAAAATATTATGATACATAAACACGTCCGGTGTGGAAACAAACCAAGTACGGAGGATATAAAACAAATCTATTTTTTTATAGATTTTTCTAAAAGTCCGGTTCAACTATTACATGCTAAAACCATCAAAGATGGTATTAATTCTGTCTTGCCTTTGTGTGGCCAATACGATAGCTTTCGGGATCAAGACCCACTTCCTCCAAACACTTCCTAGCCGCCTCTTTAGGATCTTTTTCAGCAGTCATGGTGGCGGGCGCAAGAATCATGTAACTGTTTATTAAATAATAAATTATTAAGATGTTCTTAATAAAAGAAGAGAGACACAAGTATAATCATAACCTTTAACAGCTTGAAGAAAAAATAAAACGTGAACGTAAGTGAGATAAGAGTCATCCAAATAATTTTAGAAGTTGTTACTCATAGCTGCACGAATGTCTGATGACGTCAACGGCCAGTTAGTTGCAGTACCAGAATAAAATCAGTCCGAATATACGAGAGCCTAAAGAATTTTGTTTAGACTCACGAGGCAAAATTATTGGCATATAAAAATAAATTTAACACTTCTACGAAAATAAAATAACTGAAATATTTGATGACTCTTAATATCATAAATATTTTTGGTAAGGTCACTTGGCTACTGAAATAGATTTGGTTTAGTCTCTTCTTAATATCGAATTCTTACCGGAGCTTGAAGTCAGGGTAGACCATCCTGTTGGGGAAACCTTTACGGCAAATACGGATGCCTTCAAGCACACCGTTACAGGTCAGCTGGTGCATTACAAGGTGAGAGTCGATAAGACCTGTAGGGCAAAGTTACAGATATCACTTTAAATAAACGCCACAGAACATCTTCGTAAAAACTACCTAAAAATCTATAAGCAAAGGAATGAATATAAAATCAGTTTTATCGATTTAAATACAATAAAAGTGTCTTTAAAAAGAGATTTTTAAACTTGTACTCACCAGGCTGTTTCAACTCGTTGGGGATAATACAACGCACGAAGTGAGGTTGGGTAGACCTCAGCGTTGTCATCAAGTTGTTAAGTTGTTCCTGTAGAAACGAATTTGTCAGAAAATTTCATATTGACACAGACGTTACAATAGAGTGAAAATTTATAATGCCATATAGAATTTTATCACTAAAATAATGAAGATCATTTCTGACTAGTCCATCTAGTATCCAGAAATTATCTTAAAACACATATAGAAGCAACACACATATAAGATGCAATATCCAGAAGTATTTTAATGGAATACTGCAGCACATAGAATCACACAATTATGTTAAAACATAAAAACAACAACATCAAAAGGATTAGTTTCACAGCGGCAAACGTAGGATCGTAAGAGTTTTTAAGTAACTACTTTGCAGCTAAGCAAATATTGTATGACACACTTTAGTGATTACAGTGCGTTTAAAATGAATGAGGGTGTATTAAACGGAGCGTACATATATTTTTCAGTACAATATATGTAGGCGTGAGGTGACATGATGACAAAATTACCTTTAAGTAAATCCAGGTAACTACATAAAAAAAACCCAATGCAGAACTACATTTAAGTAGGTGCATCAGTATTGATAAAAAAATAAAACAAAAGAACACTAAATCATGTAAATAATTTGAAATATTTAAAAACCTTGTAAGCGGAAGACACAGTGGCGAAACCACCTCCCTTCTTACCGCGGCCACCTATTGGACGCACATTGACAAGCAACTATTAGTACAAGGACAATCACAATGACGCCACTTAAACATACTCGTGGACAAACACCTGTGGGACGATGGGCTAAAACATGAGCTGTATTGTATAGATAGATATAGACAAGACTACAATGAAAGCGCATAGGAAATGCCAACTGCACCACCATGGAATTAGAAAAAATTAAATATCTTAGATAAAACAAATTAAATTTAAATGATAATTCCACAGATCGAGAGTTAGCTTCAAGCATATTGATAGACATAGAGAGTGAAGCTACGTAGGAGTCACAGAAGCAAATCGCGATGATTGTATTTTCCATTTTACCCTGTAGAGTGATGATACAGTCTGGAAGGCAGAACCCTTAGCGCGCTTGCCACCTATTTTTCATTCAAAATAAAGGTTAGCATAATGGTCAACGCTACACTAGAATCCCCTCTAGCGTTTTCGTTCCTATTAAAATGTCTATGAATGGTGTCATAATGAAATGGACCAAGTTTATACGTATGTGTTAACCTGGTATCAGTCTTATTGTGAAGTTAAGATGTTGATGATTAATTTCTAAGGATCGTTGAATGTACATAAAGAAAAATAAAGAGTTGCTCATGATACCTGTCGTCCCCACCATTAGAGAAATACTTAAAATTTAAATCAATTTTTATTACGTCAGTTTCATAGTAAATTAACTTAAGAGTATATTGAATATTGAAAGAATGCGTACCCTTGCCACCGCCACCACCGCTAGCATCACCAGACTGACCAGGATGGTCAGCAAAGATTTCAATCAAGAGTTTGTTCTGTCCCTTCTTGAACTGATCAACGACAGTGTCGTTAAGAGGGTCCTTGTTCTTCTCAAGCCATCCAGTAATGTTATAACCGACCTGTTTTACAATAGAAATAGTTTCTTAGCTCTCCCAGAAGAGTGACTTGACGATGGTAGTTTCAAAGAGATAATATAAATTCTTGATACTTACATTACCGGCGTAGTGACCAATAGCGAAGTGAGCGGCTTGGCAACCTGGCTTGGGAGGTTTAGGCTTCAGGTACGGGGCAGACTTGCCCAAGTGGTTGTTGTTCAACTTCTCAACGAAGGTTAGATCGGTGGCTTTGGGGAACATAGACTCTTCCTCAAGAATGGAGAGGATACCCATAGGCTGTAATAGTACCAAGTAGATTAGAATACTTAAAATACATTTATGTGGATATCAAAATAAATCAGAATTGTAAGAAAGTTTACTGTGAAAAATTTAGTATTGAAGTTTCTAAATCAAAGTATTTGAAAAATATTTTGCAATTACATTGGATTCTGGTAAAAACATAAATAAATAAAAATTAAAGCACAGTACATTGATGTTTTTAAGCAGCATGCATGTAAGTAGAAATTAATATTTTGGTGCGTTCTGTATAGTAAAGCTCTTTCTTGATAGCTCATATTTTTACAGTAATTTTGTTTAAGCAATTAATTTTACTAAAAATTGTTACATTTTTTAATTTAACTACGTTTTTGCGAGTCGCGTGCGATCCTAAGAGCGGTGTATTTAAATATTTACTGGGGGTCGCGATAGCAAAATGCAAATTAAAATATTTTATAAGAGTATGCAGTAGCTTCGCTTGCACGTTTTCTTTGCGTCATATTTCACTGCCTACTTAATACTGTGGAACGGGGAACAACCAGCAAATTGCACTTGCAGGCGATTCAGCTTGAAGCTCTGCGCGCGCCTATATCCTCAAGCTATATATTTAACAATACCTTCTCTATCAAATCAATTGTCGCTTGGAGATCCATACCAAAATCTATAAAGGTCCATTGGATCCCTTCTCTTTCATACTCCTCTTGTTCTAGGACGAACATGAAATGGTTAAAGTACTGTTGCAATTTTTCGTTGGTAAAGTTAACACAGAGCTGATTAAATCCGTTCATCTGGATCGCGCAGACATGGAAAAAATAATTGAGACCACTGATTAATACACTAAATATTGCCTAAGTTGTCTTGTGTTCGTATTATGTACCTGAAGGTTTATTGATAGTATAGAAGAAAACCACACAGTAGGAGACACACGAAAAGAAAACAAAGGGCACAAGTAGCATTGATTGAGTCTTCGAATAAAGTTCAGCAGAGAAGACTAAAACATGTTTTTTATTGATCCTTTGTGAACATTACTCGAGAACCCACGTGGCGTAAGCAAGCGTTCATCGTTGTTTTACGCCAACTACCTTTTCAATAAGGTCAATGCACATTTGCAGATCCATGCCAAAGTCAATGAAAGTCCATTCGATGCCTTCGCGATGGTATTCTTCTTGTTCCAGAACGAACATGTGATGGTTAAAGAATTGCTGGAGTTTCTCGTTGGTGAAGTTAATGCAGAGTTGTTCAAAACCGTTGAACTGCAGGTAGATAAGTAATGTGGGGTGTTAGGTTAGGGTTTAGGTAGGTCAGACTACGGATCATATATCGTAGTTATGTCGTGATCAAATGATGGAACAAGTGCGGAGAAATCAAGCTAGTTTACGCTTGATTTCTAAAAAACTAAAATCAAACATGAGCCCGTCAAGACTGCTTCCGGCGACGACGGGCGTGCCGATTCGATTCACGATCGACTATTACCTTCTCGATCAGATCGATACAAGCAAGCAAGTCCATCCCGAAATCGATGAAGGCCCAATTAATGCCTTCCCTCTTGTACTCCTCTTGTTCGAGTACAAACATGTGGTGGTTAAAGAACTGCTGCAGCTTTTCATTGGTGAAGTTAATGCAGAGTTGCTCGAAACCGTTGAACTTTTATATGAACAGTATGAAAAACAAGTTAAACAAGGCACATTTAATGTTTACGTAACAGGTTGGTTGTCAGTCGGGGCTATCATAGGGGCTGAAAACTTAAATAATAGAAAACACATGAAAAAAACACAAGAGTTCAACCGGGAACTGAGACCACTCGGTATACCTTTTCCGGTAATAACATCAATGTAGACCACTATGCTCATTCCAAAGTCAATAAATTCCCAGTGAGTACCTTCCCTAGTGTATTCTTCTTGTTCCAACACAAACATTTAATTTTGATCGTTGAAGGATTGTTGAAGTTTCTCATTTGTGAAGTTAATACAAAGTTCTTCAAACCCATTTAACTTTGAAATAAATTTGCATTAACATCAAAGAATTTAACTTAATATAACATTACTAAGTATTTCGATAAATACTTAATTATTTGAAAAATATATATTCATCCCGTGGGTGTCGTAAGAGTCGACTAAGGGAGCAAATTATGTAGGACAACAGCACTGCAAAGAGAAGGAAAACTTGAAACAAACCTTATGCCAACCCGTCTGGCCAGCGTGGTATGGTAGGCCAAAACCTTATTTCTATGGAGGGCTGTTGATGATGATAATTATTTGAAGAATTATTCGTATTGGCTTGCTGATACTCACGTCGAAGATTTCGAAACCAGCGATATCCAGTACACCAATGAAATGTTGCCTCTTTTGTTTGGTGTCGAGAGTCTCGTTACACTTCTTGACCAGCCATTTGAAGAGACGATCGAACATACCCTTGCAAAGAGCACCGACGGAGTTGGTAACCTGGTCCTTGTTACGACCCTGAGTGACAAACTCGTTTCCGACCTTGATGCGGGGCTTGAGCAAGTTCTTGTATAAGTCTGCTACATCCACACCGAGGAGAGTAGCAACTTTAATACCATCCTGTAAACAGATAGATAGATAGAAAATTAGTTTATTTTATGTATTACTGTCTCAGTGACATTTTACATATTAGCGACTGCTTCTGGAAATTTAAGGCAAGTTGAGATTTGAGTTTAACTTACATCGGTACCGTCAGCTTCAGCCTGTTCCTCGCGACCCCTCTGCTTGAACTTCATGCAACCCATGTGCATGACAGCGGCGGTGATCTTGTATACGTTGTCCTTCTCCTCCTGGGTGAAACCCAGGATGTCGAAAGCTTGCTGTATTAGAAATCACATGTTAGTTACATCCAAGCATACTATACAAAAAAGTGGTACAGAAATTAACAAAGAATATCGCACTGAATCTTACCAAGAATTTGAAAAAAAAAGTAACTGAAATAACAATGGTTATAATAAATCAAACAAAACTATCACTTCTGAAAATACAAGAAGGCAATATTCTAACTACATACTAAATAATTATGCTATTGAAAGAGTATCACAAAAAGAATGGAAAGGTCTTAACATGAAAATATGTACTTACCGATATATTAAAGGGTTAATACGAGAAGTAAAAGCGTTAGGCTTGTTAGGCACCTGTAGAACTTTACATAATGTAGGATTTTGTGCACAGAACATTCCGCAACTGTCTCTATACAAAAGTGCATGGGAATAATTTAAACATTTTACAATACATTATGTGTACTTTAAAAATGTACTACAACTACTACTAAATTCTACAAAAATAATTTTCGTCTCAATAATAAGGTAATTTTCCATTAGCGTCAGTAATAATGGTATTCCCCTGGAACGCTTTTCTGTATTTTGCGCTACAGTTTTCTTTTTGCGTCACGTAGCTTTTTGCTCTAGGTAGCTCTCCACTTCATTTTCATGTTTTTTTACTTACATCCGTTAACAGCGATTCCTCTCCATCATCAATGTTGGGGATGGTAATCTTACCCTGAGAGACGTTATGGTAATCGTATATGTCGTTGGACAACAGACACATTTCTGCCAATTAAACCACAAACTTTAATATTTAATAAACTCCACCAGGCATTAGGGAGGAGACCTAAAAAATCCGACAAAATCCTAACCGTTCATGTCGAGTCTGTACATATTAGTTCGTGTGGTTGTGTTTGTGCTGGATCAGGAATCGGAGACAAAAAAACTGTGCAGAAAGCCCTTTTGAACACTTGCAGGGAGCGGGCAGTACAGGTGTATGCCAGAAATTTTGGTTTTTGGTGATTGAATATCGGTTATGTAACAACAGACAGCAAAGGTCTTTATAATCAAAGACGCTCTATGTCTGCCTCTTGTTATATTGCCGCCTAGAATCACTATAAATCGGAACCAATTCACGAATATCTGCATTAAGACGCACGCTCCTTACGTAGTTTCAAGACTTACGACCGTCAATTCAAAATCTTCACCGTCGTTAACTCCAGGTATACGGGTCTTCCCTTGACTTATGAGGGGATAGTCCGAGATGCGGTTGCTTAGCATCGTTATTTCTGTAAAATACCAAAATATCTGACATACACATGCAACAACTGAGCCTCAACTCAATCATAAGCAAAGCAAGCAGCATTGAAATGAAGATATATTGAGCCAGTCGTCAAGTTCTGGACTCACATCGGTAAGCCTCATTTCCTCGCCATCGTCGACACCAGGAATAGAGGTCTTGCCCTGGGCCACGATGTGGTAGTCATTGATGTCGTTGGACAAAAGGCATTGTTCTAAAAATAACACCAATCAAAGTCATGAACGAAAGGTGACTAAAAGGATAGAAAAGTTCTCAACTAAAAGAAAACAGGTTCATCTCATTGTTCTGGTTGAGGTGAAAAACAAAAAAACTAACGCTAACATTTTCTCTCATGCCGATACAAAGGTGAGATGTGGTAGTCAATAATCGGTTGAATACGATTCTGTGACTGAGTGGTAAACATGGCAAGTCATACGACCTCCTGTTCAATAGAAGCCGAACTTACGTCAGTTAAAGTACATTCCTCGCCATCGTCTACGTTGGGGATGGTAGTTTTTCCTTGTGATACGATGTAATAGTCATAGATGTCGTTTGACAGCAAACACATCTCTAAATATTGAAATACATGTTAATGTTATAGTGTAAAAGTAAATGTCGTAACATCTCGGTTCATTGGAAACAGAAAAAGATTTTTTGGTTTAGAACATTAAGAAAAACTAGGTCAGCTTTCCTTACAACTTAATTTGAACCTAGTATTACTATAACTAAATTAAGGGTACCAAATTATTTGTTGACTGTATTACTTTAATTTTTATGTCTTTCATTAGTTTACTGCATAAAACATTCAATGTAATTTAAACAAATATATAAGAGGTCAATATTTTTATGATGAATTTAAAATTCTGAAACCTACCATGATTGTATTTTAAAAGATGTTGGTTTAAACCAATTACTATCAAATCAATAAACTCTTTATAAATTATTTTAAAAGAAGGAAAGTTTCATTGATTCTGAGCTTTAATTGGTCCCTCATCGAAATATATACACACCCTTAAGTCCAGGTACGGAGCCAGACATCATCTGGTAGAAGATGTGGTAAGAACGTTCAAGAGTCTGCTGGGAGATGACACGGGCCTTCTCAAGCAGATCTGGTGGATAGAGACATCAGATGTCATAACTAAGTCTTGAGAGTGAGGATGAAACGGCTTAAGGATTAAAGGAGCAAGTACTTACAAGTTTCGATATCAGCTCCAGCCAGTTTACCAGATGGCCCGAAGTGGATACGGATGAATTTACCCTGGAGAAGAAAGAAAAAGCAATTTTAATGAATTGTGAAAGGGTTTCTTTTTGAAAATCTGTTTCATATTGTAATCAGTTTAACTTGTTAATGAAATAAATTATACTTACGAAACGAGAAGAGTTGTCGTTACGGACGGTCTTGGCGTTACCAAAGGCTTCAAGCACAGGGTTAGTCTGGACGACCTGGTCTTCCAGAGATCCCTTCTTCTCCTGGGATGGGTCCTTCTTTTGAGAAGCACCGACGGTGGCGAAATACGCAATTACCTTCTTCGTGTTCTCAGTCTTTCCGGCACCAGACTCACCGCTGTTGGTTTAAAGTGTTTAAGGCTTTCTTGAGTTATTTGCTAAGTTTTTATTATAAATATAGTTTTTTACTGATTTAGTTGCAATTTAGAGTAAAATACTACAGAAGAAAACTTACGTAATCAACATAGATTGATTCTCGTGGTTGGTCAACATGTTGACGTAGGCACCGTCGGAGATGGCGAAGATGTGGGGTGGCACTTCCGAACGGCGCTTTCCACGGTAAAGCCTGGCACATCTTGTCGTGTACACGGGGAATCTCTTGTAAGGGTTGATGGCGACACAGAAGAGACCCGAGTACGTCTGTGGTGATCACGTGATGATTAGTAGTGCCATTGAATCTTCAGTAGAAAGATATAGAGGACAGTAGCTAGTAAAGGAGTATTTTAGGACAAGAATTAGGATGCAAAAATACAGCAACATAGTTGCCGCATTTTTCTCTATTAATGCATTTTAAAACAGGTTTCGGTGGAATTTGAATTGGAATGGAGTAAAGCAAAATTCTGCTATAAATTTCTTGGATGGGATAAATTGGTGGTTTCTTAGGTAGATGACATGGGACATGACAATGATGGAAATATAATTGTGATAGTGGAAATTATATCTAAGAAAAACACAAAACAGAGACTGGTACTGTACTGTACTTTAAGTCTCTGCAAAAATATTGAAGTGCAGAATTCTGAATAAATTTATGAAAAATACATTAAATAAACAAAACACACTGTTTTCATAAGGAAATTACCATTTTAGTAGTTAGCTTCATGAATGATTTTTTTAAGAATCATTTATTAATGTGTATTTTATCTATTAAATCTATATTCACATAAATTTATAGAGCATTCTGCTATTTCCAAAGCTGACGATGTCGTTAAACGGACGTCTTAGAGTCCTGTAATAAAAAAATGACAGAAAAACACGTAGAGCTGGGGTACAGTAATGATACCTTTCTGCCCAACGTAAAGAAGGATAGAACAACGATATCCAGCGTAAAACGCGGAAATAAGAACACAACACAAAACTATTCTAACAACAAAATCCTCTATTCTAAGAATACAGGTAGCTAGAAAAAAACACTGCTAAATGATCTCCGGACGCTTTCAAGTCCTTTTATACCGACTTACCAAGTATTTACGGTCAAGTGCAGCCCATAAAGTTTTTAGTTACAAATGAACAATGTTTCAATTATGTAGACACATTTACTTCGATATTGGACGTTATATCTATCGAAAATGAAGTCGAAAACAACACGCTACAGCAGATGCTCTCAATAAAATTACGAGAAATCTATTTCGGGAAGTTATGACTTTTATTTCTTATTAAGTTAAACAAAATATATTCTTTCCCATGCGTACTTGTTATATTGAAATTCTCTGTTACTTAATAAAATACAGCAAATCAAAGTTTCTATATGTTTTTGTTTAGTATGATCTTTGATCATTTGTACTATATTAGAGAGCTTATAAACTTATAATTTGCTAAAAACAATTAAAACGAATGAGAGGGAAACTTTTCAATCAAGACAGAAATATCAAACGCTAAATAAAATATACTGAAATAGCCACAGCTGGCATAACGCTGATACTATTTATATAACAAATTGAGAAATCAATCCAAGATTAATTACGCCGTTCATGGACAACTACCGTACTTTAAAACTTGGTATCTATCCAATACTATCGAGAAATTTGTCTACTGTGTTGAAAGATAAGAGAGGTGAGGTTCATGCACACTGCAAGGCCGGAACTCTTGACTGCTCCCTCGACTTACGTAAATAAGTTGGTGGTAATATCTCTGCTTCAAGTTATACAAAACAGAAGCGTCGTTGAGGTATGTCAAGTTGGACATATCCTCGCATTTCTCGTACTTAGGTGGGTTGACTTGAGCAACAAGATCTTTCTTGAAGTCTTTGGTCTGTGGGGTAGAACGTTAAATTAGTATAATAGTACTGGTAGGGCGCTGGGAGCGCCTACTTACATAGATTAGTTTCGCATAGTATCGTTGTCGAAGATTGTGCAGTACAGCGGCCTCGTTAAGATATGTCAAGTCAGCCATGTCTTCGACTTTCTCGAATTTCGGCGGGTTTACTTGGGAGAGGAGTTCCTTTTTTAACGTCTTCTCCTGCTCATTTAATGAACATGTTACGTATATGATTAGTTAACACAAGGCTATTATTATAAAAGTTATTAACTTTTACACTTTTTTCATTTGTCCGTTTATGTTCTAAGTAGATAGTTATATTGAAAAAGCAATGTATGAATATCATAATATTCAGAATAAGTCTCTAAGTTATCTATGCAATGCTATTTATTAATAACTCTAAAGGTACTAGATACATATATTTATTCAAAACTATTTTCAAAGATCGATAATGTTATCTGAGTTGATCATCAATTATTTGGTCAATCAACCTTCGATCAAATATTTAACTACTGATTTCTACAAGTTCCTCTTAAAAGAACCAGGTCTATAAAAAATATATTGATGAATTTATGTCAATTCAATTACCTCGCCACCCGGAAGGATGACGGTCACCAGTTCACCCTTGGTAGCCTTGATTTCGCCCTGAAGGAAGCCCTCCTTTTCATCAGGCACCCAGCATGCCTTTTTGCCATCGTACGGCTTGCTCTGGTCGATACGTTTCTGTTCCAGAGAGACGAACAAGTATGGGGTCGGATCGGGGTCCTCGCCCACTTGGGCAACGGGCTTCGGCATTTCGGAGGGCTAACGAGACTTTTGGGCTAGTCGAGACACGAGAACACAGCCCTGGAGCCTTCCTGCAACACACGCGGTACGTTAGTGAAACGCGTCGACTTTATCGTAGGAGATAAAGCGGCAGAGAGGCGCGTGCGTCTATTTGTGGCTGTAACCCGAGTAGTGGCCGGTGCGGGAACGGTGCCAGCTTGCCAGTTTGCGTAACGCTGACTTTTATGTTCGCGTTTTTTATTAGCGTACACCGTACTGCCCTTAGCGGATATTACGTCACAGAGGTATGCGAGCCTGGAAGTGCGCCAACTGATTTATCCATCAGTGGATTGTTTATTGTCTTTTATGGTGTTGGTTGATAGGTCACTGTTCACTACACCTGTTGGATCATTGAAGTTGGTTACCATGTCAATAACTTATGGGGTTGTATTGTCATATAATATTTACTGATTCTTTCTAAATATGACTGAATTGTTGTATTTTAACTTAACTCAGTATTTAAGAAATAATAATCTAAATCAATTAAATTTAATTTAGCCCCAATAAAGAATATATTTAATAAGTAATTATATTTCTAAACAATTGCTATTAATCAATCACAGCTTTAATCAACTGTCATTAAATCGAAAACCAGTCAATTCACTTCCAAATTTCAGTGCGACATCAATAATCCAATCAATTCATAAATAAAAACATGTGAACCATAAACCGCACACCATAGATCAGCGACCACTTCACAATCAATCCAATGCAAGTGATAAATCAGCTGTCGTCCTTCGGCTACGTCACTTAAACCTCAATGCAACACTGCAGGCACTCGCGAAGCCACTACGGTAATGCACTCCACTAATAGTCGCACTGATTCGACGCGACGCGTGCGTCGGTACTCACGTTATTAGCCGTTCTGACCGGCGGCGGGGAGCGCAAATGCTTTTTATACCGGCAATACGATACCATCGCTCGCGATCACCCCATTTTAGGCGGATGCCAGCCTGGGCCACAGCTACACTTTCAGACGATCTTAGCTTTCACTTGGGCGGGAACGCGCCAGAGCGAGCGCTTCCAAACGGCGCCCACGGAACAAACAGATACTGAAAATTCATATTTTTTTTAAATATTTTTTCTAGAAACACCTTGGATGCATTAAATGTTTAATAAACATCTGCTGGAATCTGCTGGTTGGATGGTTCTAACGGTAATGAGAACTAAAATGTTGGACTAAAATTGTACATTTGAGGTTATAAACATCCAATGTATTTAGGTATTCAATAAGTGAATCATAATTATGTTGAAAAACTGCTCGTTTGTCAATGACTTTTGAGTGCTATTTGTTTTATTTGTCTACTTTATTATTAATTTTATAATATTTATGAATGTTTATCAAATAAATTGCAATATTTTAACTTTAAATGTTGCCAACCCACGACTTCTTAATATGTTATAATACAGAATTATATTCTGTCACATTGATGTAGCTAATATATATTTCTTTTTCTATTAAAATTATTCTGAGTGTAATATTTTGAGACTGTTCTTTAAACTCTTATAACTCTGTAAAAAAAATATGTATCCATCAAAACCACTTAGAGGTGCTAAAGGGAGCAAAGACCTAGAAACACAAATACATTTTGCTATCGGAATGTTCAAAAGTTTACATGGACTGTCAAACTTCCGTCCTCGTATAGTGTGGTTCTTCTTGCTTCTATCTGTGTTTTGTGTCTTAATAAGCTTACAAAAAAAATATGAAAATTACGACACAACCGCACCGTAACGACTTAAGATCGAAGAACTCAAACTTGTCAGTTTTGAGTCCTTTCATCCTGAGACTTGGTTTAATTTAATAATGAAAACTTAGCCTAATATTATAAATTATAAAGCGAGATTGTGTGAGTGGTAGATTGTTTGTTAGATAGGTTGTTAAAGCTTAAAAGCATACTTTTAAGCTTTAACAACCGTTCATCAGCAAAAAACGAAAAGATTTGAATATATTTTCTTTAAATTAAAAATAAAATTAGTTTGTTGGTAAACACAATATCGCAATTTTTCTAAAACATTTTAGAAAAAACAATCTAGAACGCTGATCAGGAAATTACAGCACTATGGTATCAAAAATAAAGCCCTGGAACTACTTGCCTCATATCTATGTAATAGGATTCAAAAAGTTGATATTAATGGTGAGCGGTCTCCAGGCTCTGTGATAGAAATGGGCGTTCCACAGGGTTCTATTCTCGGCCCTTTTTTGTTTTTAGTATATATTAACGACTTACCTCACTTTGTCAAGGACAATCTCGAGATTGTGTTGTTTGCAGATGATACATCACTATTATTTAGACTAAAACGGACACTTTCTGATTTCACATTTGTAAACAGCGCCATTTCGAAAGTGGTTCATTGGTTTGATGTCAACAATTTACTATTAAATGAACAAAAAACTAAGTGTATACGTTTCACTATGCCAAACGTCAAGCCAGTGAAAACTACTGTGATAATTAAGGATGTCGGGCTGGACCTTGTGGACACTACGACATTTTTAGGTATAACACTAGATGCTAAGCTACAGTGGGGCCCACATATTGATAAATTGTCGAGTAGACTCAGCTCAGCAGCATACGCAGTAAGGAAAATCCGAGAGTTGACTGATGTTGATACAGCACGACTTGTTTACTTCAGTTACTTTCATAGCATAATGTCGTACGGTATTCTGCTGTGGGGGAATGCTGCCGACATTCAAACCATTTTTGTGCTGCAAAAGAGAGCTGTTCGAGCACTTTATAATTTAGGCAATCGTTGTTCATTGAGGCAGAAATTTAAAGAAATAAATATAATGACAGTGGCAAGTCAATATATTTATGAAAATGTAATATATGTTCACAAAAATAAAGATAGCTTTTTGAAAAAAAGTGATGTACATGCCATAAATACCAGAAATAAAAATAAATTTGTTGTACCCGCCTCTAGGCTCCAAAAGATAAACAAGTCTTTTCGAGGTCAATGTGTCCGATTTTATAATAAAATCCCAAATAATATTCAGGAGTTGAGTATTAACAAATTTAAATCCGCAATAAAACGTGGCTTGTGCCAGAGGGCCTACTACTCGATTGTGGATTACATGGAGGACAAGAATGCTTGGGATTAATTGGCGCAGGCTATTTCTTTCTTAAGTAAAAATGTGGTGTGGCTAGTATGTTTTTTATTATTTTTTCTATTTTTTATGTTTCACTTCATTTTCTCTTGTATTCGTTTGTTCTTCTTAATCTTGTTTTCTCTTCGTTGTTTTTTCACCTTTAAGTCCTTAATAACGGACATACTAGCACACATCAAAACAATGTTGTGATATATTTAATAGTGCCATTGTATCTACTTGTGAATTGCAAAAGAGTGGCCATGAGTTTGTTTGCCCTTTCTTCTCATAAGGCTCAACCCCTTGGAAACGGGCGGTTGTAGATCGGCACAGGCATATCATAGATTTTGTATGGGTTTGATTTTGTAAAATTTATTTGGTTACTATTTGACAAAACAGAGATTGTTGCTTTTGTGTGTGTTGATCTATGACTTTAGAGTCTACATGGAAGACGATTTCAAACAATTTTGAAAATTTTATGAAATAAAGAAAGTTTGAGTTTGAGTTTGAGTTTGATAAATAAGTATGTTCATCCCCCGTATTTGAGGTAATTTAGTGAAACAGATATTTTTCATTCTGGACTCTCCAAAATATAAAAAAAAAAGAAAAAAAACGAAAAAAAAAAAAGAGAGAATCAGAACCTGAAGTTAATGTGAAATAAAACTTTAATCAAAATCTTTGTTAATGTGAATAACATATATATATTAATATATAATAAAATAAATACTGAATAGTTGGAACATAAAATTTTAGATAACAACATTTTTTTTTACATAGTTTCAGTGCGTTACTTGTCAGTATTCGGGCTTTGGATTTTGAAATAATACTGTTAACAAAATAAAAGTTTATTTCCGAGTTACTAGCACATCAATACGTATATGTAGATAAAATACAATCACTAATAAATTCAATTGACAATAATATTCATATTCTTTGTTAGTAGTGAAGAAACGGGTGTCATGTCCCTCCAACACAAAGGGAGGATCCTCCGACCAGGCGAGGTGATCATGCTGGCGGTGCCTGCCCAACGGTTGATGTTGGGAAGTTGTATATATGCTAATCGGCGAGGGAATTCTTTATATCGCGATACAGGATTAGCAATTCTCATTCATTAGTTACTAGATAGTTCGGTGTGTCTCCGTAAGATGACGCTGTAGTATGTTTCTGTTTCTTTTGTATGTCTGAGTCGCCACAGTAGTTATCTAGTAGCAAATTTTGAAACTTTACTGAGAATTTTTTACGACCCTATTGGTCTGGAGGTTACTGCCCCTGACTTGCTGGAGATCGTGGTTTCGATTCCCACCCAGGACAAATAGTTGTGTGATGAGCACGATCATTTTTTCTGTGTCTGCGTGTAATTTTTCTAAATGTAAATATTTCTAAATATTTGATTATGTTTATCAGCAGTCTGGTTACCATAGTACAGGCTCTGCCTAGTTTGGGATCAGACTGCCGTGTGTAAAATGTATAAAGTTATCATTATTTCCATTTATAAGTATTTCTGGATTACATACAACGTGGCTTCACAGTAACGATATTTAAGAATCATTCTCAGATTTATTTAACTTCATATCATTAGAATAATAACGAGCTCTGAAATTTGTCGTGTCCACAACATATTTGTATGCAGCCAAGATGTATTTATTTATATCTTAAAGATCTAGAAACATTTTGATTCTAAATAACTTGAAATGTTTTTGTATTTTTAAATGTAATTAAACTCTGCCCAATCGCAATAATAAAATATTACTTTAATATTTTGCTATTGCGATTGGGCGTTGTCATTATCTTTGCAGGTGAGCAGAACAGTTGGATGTTAATAACGTGTTTATTTGCCGTGGAAGAGTCATACCTTGGCACAAATGGACCGGCTCGACCGGAGTCACGG